CTCCTAGAGGTGCAAAACGCTGAAGACCAGCAGGAAGGCCAGGCCAAGCCTACACGTGAGGCGTGAGATCCACTCGAGCAATAGCCTCACGTGCGTTGGACTCGTCGTCGTCGTCGTCGTCGTCGTCGTCGTCGTCGTCGTCGTCATTGTCATCGTCATCGTCGTCGTCCCGGACCACCTCGGGAGAGGATTTGTTGTTACTCTTAAGTCGGGCATGGGAAGACGCTCAAGAAGAGTAGAGCCATGAGTCTGGGGACGGTGGCTCGACCATGTGTGCCTATGCTAGAGCATGGCTTGACTAGGTATTGGTTTTCTTCCCAAATCCGCATGCAGGGGGGCATGCCCGACCTAACGCTACTACACCTTAGGCGATGCTTAAGAAAACTTGAATTTTCGGCCAGAGTCTCGATTATTCTTAATGTTTCAATGTAAACCCCAAGATTTGAAGAGACATTCTGGGTTTTTACTCAAGTTCTGAGACTATGAATTTCTTAACCCATGATTTCTTAAGCATTTCGCAGGGTGTACAGTCGGGGCCCTGAAGAAGGAACCCTTTTTGTTGGGGAGGGGCTCCGTGTTCCTTAGTTGCTTTGCAGTGCTCCTTGGGTTTGCCTGAGGTTTTCCATGGAACATCTGAGTTTAATGTATGGGAAAAAAGGAGCCTTGTTCCTCATTGTTCGTTCCTTAGGTCAACGCCCCGACTGTATGCTGGAATGCTGGCACGGATCTGGGCCTCCTAGATGGAGTCGGAGTAGATGGGGTCGCAGGATTGCGCCGCATCGCCGATGCATCGGCGATGCGGCTCGATGAGGAGCCCGACTTTCGCCTCGCCGACGGCGCCAATGCATCGCCGATACATCGCCGGTGCATCGCCGATGCATCGCCGATGCATCGCCGATGTATCGGCGATGCGGCGCGATCCTCCGACCCCATCTACTCGGATCCCATCTAGGAGGCCTCCAACGGAGGTACGCGCTCGCTCAGCTCTTCCAGCGTGGCTTCAGCAGCAGACGGGTGCGCTGCAGCACCAGCCCAGCGGACCCGGGCTTGGGTGCAGGATCCTGCGGGATTCTGCAAGGCCTGCCTGACCCGGGTCTGGATCGAACCGGGTCAGAAGATCCCCGACGATTGGGCGTCGCGTGATGGGGGGATCATAAATGGGGGGGTGGCGAGGGTGATCCGAAAAGGTACCCAAACGGTACCTAAACGAGCCCCCTGGGGCTCCGGAGGGGCCCGAAAGGGGCAGGAAAGGGGACCGTTTCTGACCCCCCCATCTATGACCCCCCCATTAAGCCACGCCCAATGAGAAGGATTTGAAAACCTCCCGCCGTGATTCCTCATTGCTCGAAGGGGTCTGGCGAGGGCGTCTGCACGCCCTCCTCTCCGGGGGCGGCTCTCGAGCGCCCGCCGCCTCCGAGCCTCCCGCCGGGCACGAGGTCTGCTCGCGGCTCGAGCCGACCTCCTCTCGGAGGCCAACGCACGCCCTCGCCAGACCGCACCCGCTCCGTGGGATGGGCCACTCGCCTTCAAGTCGGGCACGTCCCTCTACAGACGGGCTGTTCAAAAATAGTCAAAAAATAGTCTGGGGACCATTTTTTGATTATTTTCTAAGCATGTTTGGAATCTTTCTGGGGAATGTTTAATTTTTCCACCAAGATCCCCCTGTAGGGGGACAGGCCCGACCTGATTAACACTCGTCTTCAGTCGCGCACGTCCCTCCTACATCATGCGATCGCAAAAGTGGATCAATGGGGGCGTGGATTAGCGACGGGCCCCCGAGCGAGGCGGCACCGGCTGCGTTTTGGTGAGGGCACCTCCCCAGGTCCATGGATTTGGCGACCGCGCGCCAAATCCATGGATCGCAAATCCATGTTTGCGCGCCCCCGACCTCTACAGGAGGCAAATTCAAAATAGTATAAAATAGTATGGTGGCGATGCTTCGTTCTCTTTTGATTACGTTTGATGTTTATTCGACTACCTTTTATTTTCCTTCCGAAAACCGCCTGTAGGAGAAGGACATGCCCGACCTAACACTCATCGGCGCAATCTGTCGAAGTGATTCACTCCCGAGGTTGTCTTCGAGTCACGCCACTCCTCAGCGAGTAACTTAAAGTGCCCCCTTGCGTTGGCAACACTGCTAATCGAATAAGGAAAAAACGCCATAAACATGAAAGTTTGGCGGTCCGCGCGGATTTCTTGGATCCGCGCTGATCGGCGCGGGCCCTCGCATCCACTCTCCCCCTCCCCCCCCTGGAGTAGATCTTGGCTGCTTGTTTGGCGCCTGCTTCGAGCAGGTGGGCTTTCCCCCAGAGGACGCACGGTTCCAAACAGCCACACCAAGCAAAGGTCCGCAGCCAGACCCTCTCCCCCTCCTCGCCCCCCCCTTCCGCCCAATGTCGAAACGCCGAATAAGAAAACGTTCACTCCATTGATGTTTGAATTACTCCTGACAGCACGTCCACCGCCAAGCCAGGGCTTCTGCCGTTGCCGTTGCGCCGCTGCCCGCCCCGCTCGCTGCCGCCGACGATGCCTTTTGCCCTCGCACGGAGCTGAGCCGTCTGGGTGATGTACGTGTCCACCTGCTCGGGGTTTGCGAAATCGCTTGGATCGGAAACGTCATCCTTGTCTTGTTGCTCGCTCGCTCCGTCCACTTCAGCTGCTTTCTCGTCCTGCCGCGCCTGCGTCTTCTGGATCGAGGCGCGGAGCGACCGCAGCCTCTCAGCTGCTGCGTCCGCCGCCCTGCCCGCACCATCCGCCGTCTTGGGCACATCCTCGGCCGCTGCTGCTGATGTTGCCTCCTCGCACTGCTGCTTGGCCGTCTTTCGGGGGACAAAAAGATACGGATACGTGTTGTCCCCCTTCGTTCTCGGCCTTTCCTGGTCCTCCTGGGGAACCCTCGTTGTCACCGCTGGATTCGCCTCGAAATTCTGGTCAGAACGCACCCCAAGAGAGGTCCGGGGACAACACGTATCCGTATTTTTCCGCCCCCCAAGTCTTGTCGAGTGACGCGAGCTCATCTGGAGTGAACTCTGGGAATTCATCAGCTCGCTCTGCCGACTCCTGTGCATCTCCTGCTGGTGTTGCTGCGAATGCTTTACCGACGAGCCCGTCGATCTCAGCCTGAGTATTGAGGCAGTGATTGGTGTTTCTCCCTGAGTTGATTATGATTGTCCTTTTGCGCTTGTGCTGCTGCCACCAGCTGATTATTGAGCCTCTCCTGCTGCGCGCGCCGCTGGCGAAGTTGCTGGGCGCACTTTGCCAATTGCTGCTCTGGGTTCGCGGCTGGCGGAGGTTGCCAGTTGGACTCCAGGGACGCAGAGATGGCCAACAATTTCTGTTGCTTGTCATTGTCCCGCTCCGCCATAGTTTTTGTCGTATATACTGCGACATGAGCGCCTCCATCACGGGATCGACCACTGAGCCGCCATCCTTGAGACATGAACGTGGCGTCCCGTCTGATCCGTGACCCAGATCGAATGATACACGCGAGAGGGACTGGGTAGCATGCCACGTTCTCCCGCATGCTCGACGTCCTTCCCATCCCGTCCTCCCTGGCTTGTGCGCAAACACACACACACACGAGAGAGAGGGGACAAATGGGACAGAACAGATACGCTTGCGTCCGACTGCGACTGCTGGACCTCGGGCGGTCAGAGTTGCCGCCCTTGCCCATGGCAGGCCAGCCACATCTGGGGGAGCTGTGGTCCTTACCCCCCTGGGGGACCCATCGATTTCGACACCCCTCTCGAGAGATCGTCGATGCGATGGGTTCCCCTAGGGGGGTAAGGATCACAACGCCCCCAGTTGTGGCTGGCCGGCATGGAATTTCTCGCGCGCAACTTCCGCCACCTGCAGGGTGCCCTTCGAGCCGCGGGTGTGCCTGGGCCGCCCCTGCGCCGGCAGGGCGCCGACACACTCGCACGCACGCACACACCCATACACACACGCACACGCACGCACACACACACACACACACACACACACACACACACACACACACACACACACACACACACACACACACACGCACGCACACACACGCACGCACGCACGCACGCACGCATACACGCACGCACGCACGCACGCACTCACGCACGCACGCACGCACGCACGCACGCACGCAGGCACACACACAAACACAAACACACACGGCACGCGTGCGCGTGCGCGCGTGCGGGCCGCGGCCTCTTCTGAAGAAGACCCGACCCACGGCGGCCTGAGGCGGCAGCGGGAGAGAAGGGGGGGGAGGAAAGTGGAAAGAAGGAGGGGGGGAGGATGAGGAGGAGGGGGAGGAGGAAGAGGAAGCGAGAGAGAGAAGAGGAAGAGGAAGAGGACGAAGAGGATGAAAAGGACGAGAAGGGAGAGAAAGAAGATGGGGGCAGAGGCACATGAAGGGGCAGCAAAAAAACGGGGGGGGGAGGAGGAGGAGAAGGAGGAGGAGGAGGAGCAGGAGGAGGCGGAGGAGGAGGAGGAGGAGGATCGAGGTGCGAGGTGTGAGGGCCCATGAGTTTGCACGCTTTCCATACTTGTGGGGGGGGGGGGCATCCAGGTGCTCACTGCACGGAGGGGTGGAGGGGAGGGGAGTGGAAAGGAGGCGTGGGGGACGCGTAGTAGTAAGTCGGGCACGTCCCTCTACATGAGGCGTTTTCAAAACTTGTCAAACAATAGTCTGGTCACGAGTTTTGATTATTGTTTTGCCTATGTTTGAATATGTGTTGGCCATGTTTTAGATGTTTCGCCCAAAGTCCGCCTGTAGTGGGACATGCCCGACCTAGCCGTAGTAACCAATACTTGGCGGCGCGCAAAAAGGGGTAGGGGGAGGGGGGAAGGCTTCTTAGAAGCACCCTGCTTCTTAGAAGGCCTCGGCCTTACGTCTATAGAGAAGGCCCGCGCCTTCTAAGAAGCAGGGGTGCTTCTAAGAAGACTTCCCCTCTCCCCCTACCCCCCTCTGCGCGCCGCCAAAATACAGGGAGGGCCCCGTGCTGGGAGGGACGGCACAGGCTCCACCATCAGCGTCAAGGACGCCAACCTCACCGTCATGGACAGCTGAGCGCTCGCCGCCCTGGACAGCAGGGGCCGCGGCGCGACCCGAGGGCCCCAGGCTGGCTCCGCCTCCGCTTCCTCCTCCTCCGCCTCCTCCTCCTCCTCCTCCTGCCCCTCCTCCTCCTCCTCCTCCTCCTCCTCCTCCTCATCCCCTCCTCTCCTCCCCTCCTCCTCCTCCTCCTCCTCCCCTCCTCCTCCTCCTCCTCCTCCTCCCCTCCTCCTCTCCTCCTCCCTCCTCCTCCTCCCTCCTCCTCCTCCTCCTCCTCCTCTCCTCCTCCGCCTCCTCCGCCTCCTCCCCCTCCCCCTCCTGCTCCTCCTCCTCCCCTCCTCCTCCTCCTCCTCCTCCTCCTCCTCCTCTTCCTCCTCCTCCTCCTCCTCCTCCTCCTCCCGCGGCGCCGTGGCCGCCGGTACCGTGGGTCCCTCCCTCCTGCGGCTGTTACCCACTCCTTGCAACTGGAGAGGACGGGCATCCCCCAGACCCCCTCGGGCCACGAAAAGACAGCTGCTCTTCCCGCGTGGGGAGGCCTTGCGGCCGGCGCCGCCGACCCTGAATGGGGGACGACGGCGGCGGCGAGAACGGAGCCCTTCTTGGAGCTCTCTCGGGAGCCTCGTGGGCGCTGGTGGGGGGCCTCCTGTGGGGCTTCGTGGGAGGCCGCCTCGGACCAGATCTGAGACCTCTTTTGGAGGCATGTGCCTGGCACCGCTCGGACGTGTGTATTTTTTTCCTCGGCGAGGACCCTTGAGGAACATCCTGGACCATCGAGCGAAAAAAACACGCACGAAACCGAACAATGCACGGGAAATGGACGTCCGAGCGACGGCAAGGGTGGGAAAGTACGCGGCACCCCGCAACAGCAGATAGGAGCGAAGAGGGTGCTTCCCGAGGGAGGGGGTCTGGTCGGCTGGGGAAGGGGGGGTGATGTTCCCCTCGTCCACGGGGGAGGCGGCGGGGTCCCGATCCCTGGGACCCTCCTGGGACTCAACCGGCGACCCCCCCCGGAACCGAGACAAGGTTTTATATTGCGGCTTAGTACGGCCATATGAATCCTCGAGAACGGTGAAGCGGGGCAGGTCTTGGGGCCTCTGAATGACCTCTTGGGGCCTCTGAAGAACCTCTTGGGGCCTCTGAAGAGCGTCTCAGGGCCTCTGAAGGCACCCTGAAGATAGAAGCGAGGAGAGGAGAAGCCAGAAAACAACGCATGGAAAATTGAGGAAGCGAGGAGGAAGGAGAAAAGATGTTAGATCTTCGATCAATGTGCGGTGATGGGTACGTGGTTGTTTTAGTGTGCCAGTCATGAATCAGAGGACACAACTCGCAGTAAGAGACATTCATATCCTCCAAACTCTCCGCACTCCACCCGAAACCTCCTTGGGGCCCCTCCCATTCCTCCACACCTTCCCGCCTTCCACCGGAAATTCCCGCAGCCCTCCCAATCCCCCGATAGCCCCCAGAGCACTCCCACTCCTCCACATCCGGGGACACCCCATCCACAATCCTGCCACAACCTCCGGGCCCCTCCCCTCCCATTCCTCCACAGCCCCTGCACATCCCGCCCAAAAGCCTCCAGTCTCCTCCCATTCCTGCACACCCCGCCGCGGTGCCCCAAACCTCCACAGTCTTGCCATGCATTCCACAAGCTCCGCACTCCGCCCAAAACCTCCGCCAACCCCCCCGATTCCTCCGCAGCCCTTGCACACTCCGCCCAAAACCTCCAGACACTTCCCATTCCTCCACACCCCTCCGCCTGCCTTCTACCAGACCCCTCCCATTCCTTCACACCCCTCCGCGCTCCTCCCATGATGACGATGGTGATGATGATGATGATGATGATGATGATGATGATGATGATGATGATGATGGTGGTGGTGGTGATGATGATGATGATGATGATGATGATGATGATGATGATGATGATGCTGATGATGATGATGACGATGACGATGACGACCATGACGATGACGATGACGATGACGATGACGATGACGACGAGGAGGGTGATGATGATGATGATGATGATGATGGTGGTGATGATGATGATGATGATGATGATGATGATGATGATGATGATAACAGTGGAGATGATACTGATGCTGACGATGATGATGTTGATGATGAGCATGGTGGTCATGATGACGCGAGAATTAGTAATAATACTAGTAATAGTACTACTAATCATGATGATAACACCAGTAATGCTACTCATACGAATAAGATAATAGTAATAATGATGCTGCTGATGATGCTACTGATGATGATAATGATGATGATAATGATGATGATGATGGTGCTGATGATGATGATGATCACGATGCTGATGATGATGCTGATGATGATGATGATGGTGATGATGAGGATGATGATGATGATGAGGATGGGAAGGAGGAAGAAGAGGAGAATGAGGTTGCGGATGAGGATGGGGCTGAGGGCGAAGACGAGGGCAAGGACGACGTCGAGGAGGAGGACACTTAGTAGGAGGCAGGAGGATGAGGAGCAGGAGGAGGCAGAAGGAGGTGATGGTGGTGGACGAGGTGGCGGAAGCGAGCGAGGAAGTAGGAGGAGCATGCAGCAGGAGGAGCTGGCAGGAAGGGAGGTGGGAGGAGGAAGAGACGCCAGGAAGGGAGGCGGCGAGGACTAGGATGACGATGATGTTGAAGAAGATGGTGGTGCTCATTATGATGACGACAACGGCGGTGACGACGATGACGATGACGGTGCTGATGATGATGATGATGATGATGATGATGATGATGATGATGATGATGATGATGATGATGATGATGATGGTGATGAGGATGATGATCATGATCATGATCATGATCATGACTATGATGGTCCTGATGATCAGGATCGTGATCATGATCATCATGCTGATCAGCATGATCAGCATGATCAGCATGGTTATGGTACTCCTTCCCTCCCCCTTCTCCCTCTCACCTTCCTCATCCCCCTTCCACATCCCTCCTCCCTTTCCCTCTCCCTTCTGCTGGTGCTGCTCCTCCTCCTCCTCCTCCTCCTCCTCGTTCTTCTCCCCCTCTTCCTCCTCGAACGGCCACGCGACTTGCAAACCGGCCGCCCCATCCAGAAGACTTTCTGCTGACGGAGGAGGAGGATAGGAGGATTGGGCAGGAGGCTCATGCAGTAGGGGGAGCCGACAAAAAGGTAGGCAGCAGGAGGAGCTAGCAGGAAGGGAGGCAGCATGAGCATGAAGCGGGAGGAGCATAGTGCGGAGGGAGAGGAGGAACAATTCAGGAGGGGAAAAAACACAGACACAATTAATCGTCGATCCACCAGAAAATATAGGAACATATTGGAAGTTGGGGGGACGACATAAACCCAGAACGTATAAGCAAATATGGGGAATCCTGTTATTAGTGTGTATTTATTTGTGTGTCCCAGGGCCCCTTCAACAATGAACAACGAGGAGGAAGAGGAGCGGGAGAAGGTAGGAGTGAGGAGCCATGAGAAGGAACATGGGGGCCCGGGTGATGACGACATGGACGAGGGATGAAGCGAGATGACGCATGTGATATTGACGAGTGCAAGACGGGGAAGATGAGGATGAGGATGACGGGGAAGATGAGGATGGATTTGGTGATGATCGTAATGCTCAGGAGGACGATTGTTTCGAGCCCGTTTGTCGAACCATTTTTCTAGCGCAGCGCTGCACGCACCCTCGGATATGCAGCTGGACTTATCACGTTGCTTCAAAAACGGTTGTTTTGAATGTTACATTGAATATTGGCACAACTACTACTAGATTGCTTCCAGAGCGCCTCCAGATGGTCTTTTGTGCGGCCACTTCTTCCTGGGCGGGAGCGCAAGCTCTTCAGGTTTGCCAGGATGCCCAGAGTTGAGAAAGGATGCCTTTTCGTTTTACTTTTCATTGAAGGGTCAGCGCGGGCCGCAGCAAGACCCACCCGGCCGCGCGCCGGGCCGCGCAAGAACCCAAAGGGCCGCACAAAAGACCAACGGGCCGCACAAAAGACCAGTCGCCCCTGGATCCCCCCCCCCCTCGGCAGGGAAAGGGTCAAAGGGAAGGGGCGCCCAATCAACTACGACGTTTGATTTCCGTCTGGCGGGATCGCCGACTTTAAGGGTAGCTCTTTGGGAGATGTTACAGTATCGGGAGCATAGCTCGCGCGCCGCTGCCTTGGGCTCAAGGCACGCGCGCCCTATTTGCCCGGACACCGCGAGTGTTCGCTATGTGCTGGAAAGATCATTACATCGATCTTATCCTATCTTACCCATCCACCCCTCATACTGTACCTTCACAGCAGAGCGATGGATGCAATTTGCCAGGCTATATGCCCTATTTGAGTTACCAGGCTCACTTTCGACTTGGTAGCGGAGCTGGCCGCACTCTCGTGTGGTCAGCTCTTGCTCTTCTTAGCCTCATATTCTTCGGCACGATCTTCGTGACCACCTACCACCCTGCGCCACCACTCCCAGTACGTTTACGAGGATCTATTCAAGAGCAAGAAGCAACACGAGAGGTACGACGTCTAGACGACCAAACTGGTACCATATACGCTTCATCATTGCGTTACTACCAACCGCTCGGCAACGAGCTAACAGCGCAATACTTGAAGCAAGGGCGGGGAGACCCGCCAGACAGAGCGCCTCGAAGACTCGACAAGGCGCTATCCCAGCGCGACAACGCGCATCATAACCGTCCTTCGTTACACATTATCGGGCTAATCGTTTTCGCTATCATATGGTTCGCGCTGGGGGCAGCAATCGGACACATGCGTCGTGGAGATAACAGCACCGATGGGCAAACACATGGCCCATATTGGGACCCTCAAGGTAATGTACCTTTTCGTGAGTACATCTACGAGGTCAACGCATGGCTCAACGTTACAAGCGGACGTATGACGCCACAGGCCCAAGCGGCCGCAATACAACGCGGCCTAGGTGGCCTAGCGAGGACACTCGCCATGAGGGTACCGCCTGACATTATAAACTATGGTGCTGACATTGATGGGGTCCACACAGACCCAGTAACTTACATCATGTTCCTCCTCAGCATGAAGTTCGAACGCCTGGAAGA